GGGAGAACAATAGTGTCCCGACGCATGTACATGGAATTAATAAAGCCAGTTTAAATTCGTACTGACGCGCGCGACTTCGATTTTGCATCTCGGCGCGGACGCGGCCATCCTTGAGATGCATTAATGCCGCTGAATCGACTACTACCGTTATACATTGCGGCAATTGGACGGACGCCGGTGACGTAGAGCGCACGTGAGGAACATATGGCCCGACACCGAGAGCGATTTGCGAAACGAGATAACGATATACCATTATACAGCCAAAAGGAATACTACTGGGCCAACTATGCCTACCTGAGAAAAATACTACAGCTATTATTAAAGATTGGTCTTTTTATACCCCGCTGTTTACTACACTGCGTACACTCACTGCCAGTAACCGCTGACGATAGAAACAAATAACAATAAACACAATAAGATACGGCAGTCATAAACGAATCTCATTAATAGTCTCGTGATTAGCTCAGTGCAGTAATATTTCACTGGATGCGTTTCTCCTAATAACATGTGGAAGTGGCGAGGTACGGCTCGATCATAAACTATAAAAAGCTGCAGTTTCCGACAGACGCCAGCTTTGAAGATAATTTAGGTAGCTTCTGTATCGTTAAATGGGATAGTTGTTTGCATTATGTGAAAATGTATGAATAAAAGAAGAATAACGCTCTCCTTGTTTGAATTTTTTCTGCTAAAATTTGGCTACATGACATTATTTATGACTATATGAAAGACACTTTCTTTCCGTTGAGAATAGAACATTGTTTTTTATCAATGAGCCGTTGTCGCTCATTAAGTGTCTCATTGTTTTGTGAGATATTTTAAAAATTTAGAAGATTCCAATGGCCTTTTTGTCAGTTTGGCTGGTCGCCGATCTAATGTTTACGTGTCGCACAAACAGTTGGCATTATCTCGACGGCGTCAATGAATTGCTCGGTGCGCTCGTGTGCCCCGAATCGCCGGCGTCCTGACACGGTTCGCGGTTGGCCGCCGCATTATCTTCCACCATGTGGAGGCTGCAGCGGTGCATAGTGCACGCGCGGAGGGGGGCAGCGCGCCAGCCCAGGGGGACGCCGGGCGCACTCATTCGCCTCGCAACCGTCGACCGGGACGGACGCGACGCATCGATCGAGTGTAACGTCTCCCGAGAGACGGCGTGCCTTGTGACCGATCGCGTACAATCTTCCAAGTGTAAAAATAAAGCCGGCGACAGACGGCGGTGTCGGTGCAAAGTTATATTTAAATGATAGCACGAACGCGAGGCCGCTCCTCCCTCGGACGCTCACCGACATGAGACTAAGTACGATACCTTATGCTAAACTAGTTCGTAAATCTAGATGCTGCGTTGTGTGCACGCAGATGTTGCATATCCCATCGAGTGCGCCGCAGTGCAGCGATAACGATTCAGTGTTTCAGGGTTTTGTTTATGCAGTTGTTTCAATGTTGTCATTTCCATTTGGTTTCAAACGTCAGTGTTCAGTGGCGAAGTGTCTGGTTTTGAGAGGATTTGTTTAGTGGAAGGATGCACGGGTTGAATTATTCATCGTTTCCCGTCCTTGTCGTTTTACATTTTCATCGAGTAAGTAAAGATTAGTTAGACATAACTCGCGCTGTTCTGTGCAAGTACGTTTTTCCGTTTCACTGATTCCTACTGATTGAATGTTAATCAGGTAATTTAAAACGATTATTCAAGCTATCGCGACTATCTCTGTCGTCGCCACGCTAATGTGTTTATTTGTAACCGCACACTCGGACTAGAGTTACTTCCTGACTGGCAACATTCGATTACCTCGACTAAGTTATTTTCAGCCTTTTACGGCAATATGTTAACTTTTAATTTCTTTAGTGCAAATTTTCATTACCGTCAACTTAACCCAATTGGTGTTCGCTAACGAATAAATCTAAAATAATGCTAGTTTATTGATAAATTAATTAATTTGAATAGACTGTATAACGATGTCTATTATAGAAAAATATACCTGTGCTTACATTGTGAAATTTAAGCCCTTTGTGGCGCTGCAGCCCTACATATTAAATCTGAGTTCGTCCGGGTACCTGTTGACCGAGGACCGTCAAAAAACTACACAATGGCTCGTCCTAAATGATATTTCTAAACGTATATATATTTAACATAATGGCTAGACTATTATAGATTTACTTACATTATACGAGGCGACTTGGTTATTAATAGGCAGCTCGAAGTTATAGAGATTTTAATTAGTTTAAATTTCCGAGTCTTAATTTCCCTTTAATTAAAGATAATATAACTAAGTTTCTGGTTCATCAAATTTGTTTTATTTTTTTTTCGGAAATATCTATCCCCATTTAAAAAAATCACGTTGCGTTGATCTTTCTCAACAAACAAGGCTAAATTGTCATATTGCAGATTGTCTTAGCAATCTCAAAAGGAAAGACCTGATTTTATTTATAAATAACGAGATACGTTTTAAAGGTCAAATGAAAGGTTTGTACAATTTTTCGGCTTAGAATACTGTACCACAAAAGATCATATTTTCGTTGACGTAACCTGTTTGAAAGAAGACATAGTTTTTATCTATATTTTTATTAATGTTGAATCTAGTCATGTCAGGTAAACATTTCCCTACACTAAGTTATTATCTTGCATTTATATTAACTTTGACAACTGTACGAGTATTAAGGTTGTTTTTAATTTTGGATATCGAAAGTTAAGATTGTTTACTAATTTATTGTACCAAATTTTATTCAGAAACTGCTATATTGCTCTTATTATGCGTATCGCTAATTATTTATTAACATTCAATTATTCGAAAAAAAAAAAACTAAATTATGAAACGCATACGAAAATTCAAGCATTGCAGATGAGAATTAGTCCGTGAATTAATATCAGTGATTTGTGTCATTGATACATCCACAGCTAAGCATAGACTTCCAATAATGGCCTTGATACTAGCATTATTTAGAAAATGAGAATGAATGATGATTATGAACGACGTTCCTAAGCAGGGTAAACGAGATGGTGAATTCTGTGCTGATGGCAAGGTGGCAATGGTAAGAACAAACGCTTCCCCATTGCTGCTCTATGAAATTTTGGTTCAGCGTCTTCGCTTGCATTTTCCGTTGGTCCGTGTTCCGATCGATTTCCTTAGCCTCGTTATCAATCTCAAAAATGAGATTAGTACTTGAAGAAATTGTGTACCTATTCCCTTTTACATCCTTGGTTATAGGATGCCACATCACGAAAAGTAATCTGAAATATCATATAATATCTAGTTTAATTGTATCACGCATATGATACGTGATATATGATTAAGTAACTATTAACTGCACGATTAAGATGTGTGCCACAAATGTTTGATACTCTGCATTTGAGATCTTTCCATCGACTGATTACAATTTATTGTCTGTAATGAGTAAATTTTTGTTATGGAAAATATTTGAAAGCACAATTATGAGGTGTACTGGATTGTTCTTTGTGGACGTAATTTAATTTATAAATATTTAAAGTAAGTGTAAGTATTTCTTAAAAATAGTTGACGATTATAATATGATATACATAGATTATTTAGTAAATTTTTTATAAGCATATTTTGAAGACTAGGCTACCTACTTCCTTACAATACGTGGTAGAGCCCCAGAAGCCACAGAATACTGGCATAAAATAGCAGCTTAACACTGCTGTGTTTCGTATGGTGAGTGTAGAGAACCGGAGACCCTTTTTACTGGAAAAGAGGCATTCCATCTTAGTCCTCACGGGTGACAACGCATCTGCATTTTGATTCTTTATTGAGGGTAGATGTGGATGTCTATGGGTCACAGCAATCACTTACCATCAGGTAGACTGTATGCTCGTTTGTCACCCTATCCTATAAAAAAAAACAATTACGTATAAGTAATAGTAAGTATAGTAATTTGACTAAATGTTGTTTTTATGATAGCATTATAGTTTTTAAGTTACGTGTAAAACTGGTCATATTGATAGATAGAATACAAACAAAATATATCTAAATAGTGTATACGTTAAGAAATAATTAATTCTTTTAAGTAACTGTTTATCATCTCCTAATAAATTACTAGTAATACGATTGCATTGCTGCATCTCATTACAAAAATAATGTAAAATGATTACAAATTCCGTCAAGCACATAAAAATTTATGTTACATATTGATTTGACAATAGACAAAGAGGAGGCATCCCACCATTTTCCAATTCCGATTACCTTTTTAAAAACATACGAAGACCTAAGCATATTAGCTATCTTAGACCTTACCTTCTCATTTTAAACTAGACAAAATTTTAATGTGTGTAGTACAGCTCGATTGAATCCATAGTATATTAATTAAACATAAAACAAACTTAAGATTTATCTGGCCAGTTCTTACCCGTACTGGTTTAAACTTTTAAAACTAGTGTAGATTTGTGTTTCAATGTTTATACGAATGTTAAATAGCCCTTAAATGCATAAAACTATGATTTCATTTTTTAACTTGATTAAGCGTTAGTTAAATTTGAAGTAGTCTAAAGAGAGCAATAGAAAAACCTCCTCGCAGTCACTTAAGGTTACGTAGCAGCCCTCCCTCCTCAGGATCCCCTCTCTAGGAATCCTAGGTATCATCTTTTTATCTATTATTGTCGTTACGTAGCAGTTTGCTCACTATTGTTATCTGGTTTTGAGGGTAAGTGAGCATTACAGATTGTTAGGCATTTAATTTTGGTCCTTAGATATGACGGTCAATATTCTTTTACCTAATATGTTGCTTGCAAATGTCCATAGGCCATATTCAATTGATCACCAGCCGATTGTGGCTCGTAATTCATTTCGAATTGTAATAATTACTATTCGTATTTTCCATTGGTAATAAATCCGTTAACAATAACTTCTTTATTATGTCGTGTCGAGTAATATCCGGATCATTTTATTTTACAGGCTTTGGTTTTATGGCCGTTTAATTTTATATAGTACTATTATCTTATCTTTAATTGATCATAACGTAAATAGACATTACGCCAGTTAGGATAGTTTCGAATGCAATTGTTGTGCACTTTATGTAAGTAGATGTCGTTACATGTAATTTTATTGTTCTGGCTTATATGTATGTTGTAAAGGTGTAACATTAAAATGTTTACTTCTGATTGGACATTAAAACGGATCTTTTGTAGCAAATACTTTGTGTTTGAGTGGTTAACATAATTGTTGTTTGTCTTGAGATCGGTCTAGAGTTTTTCAATATAATTCTAAAAACTACAAGTTTTTAGTCAAGTTAAATCGGTTAGTCAAGTTGATCGGTAAATTGAAAATTTTGCACAACCGACTTCAATATAAATTAAGGATAACTCAAAAACTACCGGTCAGACCTTGATCAAATTTATATGGGACCACATGATAAGCACCACCTTTCAAATAAAAAAAGAATCATCGTTAAAGTTATGAGGTAACACACATCAGTCAAAAACGTACAGTTGAATTGAATACCTCCTCCATGTTGAAGTCAACAGAAAACTGCATTTTATTACGATTAAAATTTTTATCATTCGGATTTTAAATTTCTATCTGTAGAACATTTTAAAATTACAAGAGTACTAGTAACTGCATATTAAAATAAACTAAGTTTACGGTTTGGGTATTTTACAACACCATTGGTCACGGGAGGCAACTGAGGTGTTTGACGTCCTGATGTTAGCGAAGGCTACCTATATTACGGAGTACCAAGCAGATGGTAGGATCCTTCCATCTTCTTAAAAATTTCAATAGAAAAGATGGCTGGGATGAATGGCTGGAATTTAATTATATCCAAAGTGTTAAAAAAGTTAAATTAACCGCGATAAAATCTCCGTGACCATGTGTGATGTAAAGCGCCCGAAACGTCGGGATTTAAAAGAGTTAAAAAGCGATAAAATCTGTAAAAGTACTTTTATTTAACAGCTCCATTATGCTATTTCACGTTACAAATCTATCTAAGCTTCTTCGCTGATCGTGGCTACCTATACGTGCTGCAACCATAATAAAGCTGTAGCCTGCCGTGTGATCACCACTAACAATACGTTTCAATACGTGGTAGAGGTAGAGCCATGCTGCAGCTATATTAATTGTATAGTTGTAGCACGAATGAGTGGGCTCGACCGGGGAGGGACCACGCTCTCACAGAATACCAGCGTAAAATAGCAGCTTAATGCAGCTGTGTTTCGTATGGTGAGTGTAGAGAACCGGAGACCCTTTGTACAGGAAAAAAGGCATTCCATTTTAGTCCTCACGGCTGACACATCTGCATTTTGATTCGCAAATGAAGATAGGTGTAGATGTCTACGGGCCACAGCAACCACTTATCATCAAGTGGACTGTGTTCTCGCTTGTCACCCTCATCCCATAAAAAAAAGCAATCTTCCATTATTACCATTCTTGTTGCATACATAAAAAAAAACTAATAAGTTTGATCGCATGTTATAATTCGTTAATGTGTAACGGAGAATTTGATGTGCTGTCTTTATCTACTCGTTCCACTTGGAACGATTTATCAATCCGTCGGTGTGTGTGACTGATTAGTGCGATGTGTAAATATTTTCGACGCGGGCGCGCTCGCGCCAGTACACTTGCTACGATTGTTTCAAATACGCTGCTTAATTTAACACAATGTTGTCAGCATTATCTTGTTTAGGTTGTTCACGCTCTATTTGACTAGATTTTATTCTGGGAGAGAAATGTAACATTGTGCAACTTACCGTTTGGTGACGCCGTAAGAGAATCCATCACCTAATTACGTCTCATGGATTTTGTAAGAAGCGGTAATGGGAATTACGAAAAAGATCTGAGTGGTACGACTCTTTTTCTACTTATTTTTATATGATAGGGTGACAAACGAGCACACAATCCACCTGATGATAAGTGGTTGCTGTGACCCATAGACATTTACATTTATCCTCAATAAAGAATCAAAATGCAGTTGCGTCGTCACCCGTGAGTACTAAGATGGTATGCCTCTTTTCCAGTAAAATGGGTCTCCGGTTCTCTTCACTCACCATACGAAACACAGCAGTGTTAAGCTGATATTTTACGCTGGTATTCTGTGAGAGCGTGGTCCTTCTGCGGTCGAGCCGACCCATTCGTGCTACAACTATACTACTAATATAGCTGCAGCATGGCTCTACCACATAACAGTGCTTACACTGGTGTGTGAGGCATCCCATCTCAGTCCTGTGATGTGAAAATGCATCTGTGGCCGTCTTTGGTTGAAGTTGGCTACAGTCTCATTTTTGTTTATGGAAATTAATATTAAATTAGAACAACTTTAATGTCTTTTAAATTTAGTAGGTAGTCAACATTATCACTCGATTAGTGGACGTTAATAGTAGTGTGGACAATGAATTGGTGTTATTGCGTTTACAATTAGTACTAAGATATAGTGAATTAATATTAGTTATTAGCTTTCCTCCTTTCAAAAAGTTATAGGCTTAACTAGACTCGCCAACTGTTCCGGATTTTCAAAAACTTGCCGTCTCTAGTCTTGTATGTTGACGTGTCGTGGAGTGTCCAATCATTTTGAAATTGTTTTCATATTATTAAAAGATTAAACTTTGGCTACAACATTTAACAATTACTGCGTGGTTTACTAACGTTAAAAGTAATTGCAACCTATGCGTACGTCCCACAGTCCCACTGCTCGGGCACAGGCATCTCTTCTGCGAGGGTTATAGCAATTAGTCTGGCGGGCTGCTCGTGTGCGTGCTGGCAGACTTCACAAGTCCTCGAAATATTTAACTATCTCACTGTCCCGTCAGTCATATGAACATTTTTAATGTTTAAGTATTGTCTTTTTCACGGACGGGGAATTTGTTAATAATAATAATACAAGACGAAGATGCAGGTATCTTCACAATGTTTTACTTAACCGCCGCGCACGTGGTTAATCAGCACAAAATTGCAACTAATTATTTCATTCGTGGTGGCGGGGAACGATCCCGTGCTGCTTCATCCCTAAGCCCTAAGCTACCACGGCTATAAGTTTGCTAATAGTGGCAGGGTCGCCATGTAATGTAGGAAGGGTGTCAATGAGACTTTAATTACACTACTCTCTTATTATAAACTTAACAGGAATATATGTTGTGGTGGGGGCTACACTACATGTTTGCTAAGTTGCACGTGACGTTTTTCCAGGTCGGGGCATAGTGTGCGAGTGCGCCGGCGCGAGCGCGTGCCCCGACGGCTCGGCGAACGGCACGTGCACCACGCAACCCGGCGGCTACTGCTTCGCCACCGTCGAGGAGGTACTGGACGATGGCGGCCGCCTCGACCTCGAGCGCACCGCCGGCTGCCTGCCGCCGGACGAGTCCGGCTTCATGCAGGTTACTGTCCACGACGGCCTTATTTTTTTATAGTAGAAGGGAGAGGGGGGGGGGGGGGGGCTAACGAGCATGTGGCTCACCTGATGGCAAGTGTTGACCGCCGCTCATAAACAACTGCAACATCAAGACAATTGCAGGTGCGTTGTTGCCCTTTTAAAAAGGAGTACGTTTGTTTCTTGAAGGTGCCTTAGTCGTATCAATCCGGAAAAATCGCCGGTGGTAAACAATTCTACAAAGAATTCGTCGCTAGGAAGAAAACTCAAAACTTAGTTCGTTCAGTCCTACGTCACCTTTATTAGTTATCATCACGTTAAAGTCTATTGCTGGACATGGGCCCTTGACCTTGTCTTCATCACGCTTGTCAGTTGGATTGACGATCGCACTACCACCAGATGTTTCGTACCTTTGACGTAAACGGTTCTTAGGCCTCAGCGGTGAAAACGCGTTTTAAATCTTAACTGAGGATATATGTAGTTGTCGCCACAGCACCCATTTACCATCACGTGGAATCTGTGGTCGTCTTTTGTCAACCATATTCTATAAAAATAAAAACGATTAGACCGCTATCTATATCAAAGTAATTAGATTTCCTTGGCATAACCCTTGGACGACCATTACGAGCGCCACGGCACGAAATAGGGTGATGGATAGTTATTTTGTCAACTGGTAGTCAACAACTGAATATGGACTTAACCAATAATAAGAAGGGCGTCACAATAGACTGTGTACCGTAATAGAATAGAATAATTTTTATTCAATATTGACTACATGTAATTTTTATTGAGTAATTTTTAACTTTTACCACTGGTTTGGAAAAAAAAACCTCTGTCCTGGGAAGAACCAACAAGAAACCAGTCAGTCAACGTAATCAAATCAAGGTAGTGAAATTTAACTTGTAAATAAATTATAACGTTTTGAATAGAATAGAATGATTTTTATTCAATATGGATTATTACATAATACTTATTGAAATCATTATTTTATTTGACAAAAAAGAACAATATTTAAAAGAAAATAATTTAAAATTAAAAATTTTGTACAGCCGACTTCAATCTAAATTATTAAGAATAACTCAAATACTATTGGTCATACCTTGATCAAATTTATATGAGACCACACGAGAAGCACCAACTTTCAAATAAAAAAAGAATCTTCGTAATCGGTTCACCCATAAAAAAACATAGTCGAATTAAGTACCTCCTCCTTTTTGAAGTCGGTACAAAAGAACAAAATCAATTTATAAAGTAGCAACTGGTCTTTAACAAAACTTATTAACTTACAAGTCTCGATGTTCCATAAATTCCCGAGTCGGCATTTTTGAAAAAGAACACTTGTTTAAACTCCCAACTGACAAGAATTGCGTGTATTTAAACAAGAAAGTATTTAAACAAGAAAAACCACACAGTAATTAATTAGACTCGGTAGATAACAGAATCTGTTTAGGCCTTGCAAATATTGTGACCTATTTACGTCATTTTAAAGTTGTTCAATTGTATTCAAATGCAAACAACGTCACAACAAAAGACGCAAACTGACAATGTTTGAAATTCATAATGTACTCGTGATTAGTGAGAACACTTGCACCTAATTCTAAATATTAAGACTTGTATTGCGATCTTTAGTTTGTCTCACAAACAAAGCTATTTCAGCTTGGCGTCCAAATGTAAGTACAAGTCCAAATTCACCAAAGTAACGTCTTAATATGGACCACACACAAACGTTATCTTAATGCTTTTTAAATTTATGAGAAATATAATCGGCCTTTAGTTTTACTGGTCAGTAACAGGAATTGAGTATTTTTATTATTGATATTGCTTGTAGTAACGATTTTTGATAATAATTGAATAACTATCTAATAGCGCACAGTATGGTAGGTAAGTGGTTTCTCTACTAAACAAAGAAATGCCACACTATCATTTACATCTGAGGGGCAGGATGAAATATTTCAGATTTCTTGTTGTTATTAATCCAGGCTCTTTTAAAACTAGGAAAAGGCAAGTTGGGTTTACCAACTCAGGTGGATTTTGAACAGAGAATCTACTACGTACCCATCATAGTGTTATCAGTACTTATTTTTTTTAAAGGAATTCTGTTAAATTAATAATACTCCCGATAAACATTCCAGATAAAATGCTTGTGTTAGAAATGGTTCACGACAGTATCCGAATTTGCATTCTGCATCTTTAACCATTAAGCTATTGTCGCATCAATATATTACTTTGTAGGTCATATTGATTTTATATGTTTACGCGAAGACTACACATTATATGAAGCTAGGTTATAGGGATTTTTATCGCGTTTTATTAATTTATTTTATATTTCCGACGTTTACAATATTTACAGCACTGAGTATTTACAGCACCCATAGTAAAGAGGGGGACTGAGGTGTTCGACGTCACAATGCCATAGTTAACTACGGCCGACTTCAGTGTAAATTAAAAAAAAAGTACTAATTTTAAATTCATATAACTGTAAAATCTGTAAAAACTAGTTCCATTGAATACTTCATAGGTCGTCAACGAATACTAACGTACGTTTTATTTTTTCAGTGCAAGAGCTCACAAGTGCCACATCAGCACCCGAAGGTGATCGAGTGCTGCTCAGAGGCGGACCTGTGCAACCGGCGCCTGCGGCCGCAGCTGGCCGAGCCGCCGCCCGACGACGCGCCGCCCGCCCCGCGCCCCGCCGCCCCCGCCGCGCCCCCCGCGCCCGCGCTGCTCGTAGCCATCGCGCTCTGTGTCGCCCTCGTGGCCTTCATAGCGGCCTTCCTCCTGCTCTTCAGGAGACGCCGACGCGGCTGCAAGAGGCCGCCCTCTCCCCCCGCAGTGTCCCATCACACGGAAATCACCTCGGGGTCGGGCTCCGGACTCCCACTCCTCGTTCAGCGGACCGTCGCCAAACAGATACAAATGGTGGAATCCATCGGTAAAGGACGCTACGGTGAAGTGTGGCTGGCTAGGTGGCGTGGCGAGAAAGTCGCAGTCAAGGTGTTCTTCACGACGGAGGAGGCGTCCTGGTTCCGCGAGACGGAGATCTATCAGACGGTTTTGATGCGCCACGAAAACATCCTCGGCTTCATAGCCGCGGACATAAAAGGCACGGGTTCGTGGACGCAGATGCTCCTCATAACGGACTACCACGAGAACGGTTCCTTGCACGACTACTTGCAAACAGTCGTTCTGGATACGCACTCGCTGCTGACCATGGCCTATTCGATTGTGAGCGGGCTGGCTCATCTACACATGGATATATTCGGAACGAAAGGCAAGCCGGCGATCGCGCATAGAGATATCAAAAGCAAAAACATACTGGTAAAACGGAACGGGCAGTGCGCGATCGCGGACTTCGGCCTGGCAGTCAGATACGTGGCGGAGAGGAACGAAGTGGATATAGCGCCGAACACTCGCGTCGGGACACGGCGATACATGGCGCCCGAGGTCCTCGACGAGAAATTGGACGTGGGCAACTTCGAGGCGTTCAAAATGGCCGACATGTACTCGCTGGGATTGGTGCTGTGGGAGATGTGCCGGCGTTGCGCCACTGGGGACAAGGCACAGTATGTGGACGCCTACGCACTACCGTATTATGAACACGTCCCACCGGATCCCTCGTTCGAGGATATGCACGCGATCATCGTAGCGAAAGGGATAAGGCCTATTATCCCGTCGCGTTGGTTGGCATCTGAGCCTCTGGCAGCGTTGTCTGCGGCCATGGCAGAGTGCTGGCACGCCAACCCGCCAGTGCGGCTCACTGCCCTTCGTGTAAAGAAGACTCTCGCCAAGTTCCACAACGAGCCCGTCGCCAAGCTCGTCTGACGCCGGTTGACAAGGTTGCCATCGAACTCGTCTGACGTTGGCACTATTGTCTGATGTCTTACAGCTCGGACGTTCTATGAGCAAACCTGATGATGTCGTTAAATGTCGTACACGTCTGACGTCAATAGAATCTGATCATCTCAAACGGGTTTGACGTCGTCATCAAACAAACCTGATGTCTATGAAGTACGTCTGATGTCGTCAAACCCGTTTGATGTCGTCAAACCCGTTTGATGTCGTCAAACCCGTTTGACGTAGTCAAATACGTCTGATGTCGTCAAACATGTTTGATGTCGTCATACACGTTTAATATCGTCAAACACGTTTGATGTCGTTATACACGTCTGATGTTGTCGGACACGTGTGTCGTCGACGACAGCCTTCAAAGCTAAGTTCCTCAATACGCACTATTTATTCGATAGCGAATGTTGAATCGCGTAAAAATTGTTCAATAGCCACTAAGCCCCATCGATGAAATTCCGTCGGACCACCGCTTTTGTTTAAATCTCAGTATTGTTAAGTTTATTTCGCGAACTATAGTTAAGCCAGTGAGTTGTTACAAGTGAAATTGCAAGGACAGACAAACAGACCGGCCGAATCTCTCAAGCAAATCCTGTTTTCTATTTCGTTCCGATATATTTGTAATGTTTTATTTTATTTTATCGCTGTTACACGTATTTTGTAGGTTTAAATAAAATGTCTTCGTCTTCCGTTGTTTGTGGAGGGGGCTCGGGGCCCGTTGTGCGCTGCGACTTGTGATATATATTGACAATAAGACTTTGGATACAAACAAACATACAATAGTGTTCGAAATTGCTTCGCAAAAAGGTGTAGCAATGGAATTTATTGATTCAAAGATTTTGATTGGACCGCGTTAGTTTGTCGAGGCGATGTGATGGGTTGGTTTGTGAGAAGTACTATTTTGGTGTAACAAGTGTGTTTTTTAACTATTCTTTCATGCCGGCCACATACAATCGGAAAAATGTTTCGGAATTCCGTTTCGGAATTCCGAACGGGTCGACCACATACATTCGGAATCCCGTTATGCCCGCAAAATTTCGAACGGAAAGCTACTGGTGTGTGATGGGTCCTTGAATTTATATGGACTTGCTGCGTTCGCAATCCCGAATCTGTATCCCGAAATGTATGTAGCCGACTTAAACATGGTCAGTAAAAGATTTTTGAAATCATTAATAATGTAATGTAACTTTATTACGTTTATCAAACCAAGAATCCCTAGTGTAGGATTTCGTCAAGGATACACTTACGTAATACGTAGTATTATTTAATATTTACTGAGCCGCTAAGGCGAAGAAGCAGTGGGACTTATTTTCCTTTAAGACATATGGCAAATTTTCCAATAGTAACTGATATTATATTGCTTAATGCTTTTCTAAAAAAAAATTGATTTATTTATTAATCAATTAAAATCGTAATAAAAGTACCACCGGATGTACTTTCGCCAATAGCAAATATGTGTACTTACTGTTTATTATCTGTTTTAAATATGATACAGATTTGTGACTTTACATTATTATATTAGTAAAGTTCTAGAAAGCCGTGTTCTCTACATACACATAACAATCAATTTCTAGGGTTGTTTTATAGTAAGGCCATCGCCTCGATGAACGTAGCGGTCCCCGTCAGTGAATTGTACTTAAGGTCGCTGAGACAAACCGCGGCGTGGAGTGTAACGTGGTGCGGTTAGTATTAGCGCCGCGACTGCTCTCAGCCTCGCGCACACGACCACTCACTTGCTTAACTTCAACACAAGTGACCATGCAAGTGCGTGATATCTTAAAGGAACCATTTCTTATATCATTTGTCCTCTCCATTTCTTAACATGGAATCATAATTTCTGTTCGAAATGCAATCAATCAAAGTAATGTTTGAATTTTGAAGTAAAATCGTTCAAGTATTTTATACTACTTGGCTATGGGGAAATTTCGCTAAATCTTACAATGTCGATTAAGGGTCTATAATTAAAGAAAAATTGAATTCCAATATCCTGAATTTCAAATTGTTTTCTTTTTTCTCTATTTACGCTTTAAATTGATAGGATTTTATCCTATGTGGGTAGATAGGTATTTTTTCACTTCAAGTCCAAATAAATAAATCCCTATAGCTAGACCACTGAAGTAAATTGTTTGAATATCATCTTTTTTAAGTGAAAACTTCTTTAGGCACGTTGGCTACATTTGGGAAAAAGCACTGAATTCGCGTGGTCGTCATGCTCAGATAGATACATATCTACAAAAATGTTTACAGAAGTTTTCACTTCTGGCGTGCATCCTACGACTGTCAATTTTTTTCGCACACAGAGAGGACGTTTAATTTATTTAAATATTCACAAACATACAAAATGTGTGCGAGGATGAGAGCAGAGTGCGCGCAGCATTTAGTCGCGCGGGTGCGCTCTGTACATTGTTGTGTAAATATAGTGGGTAGTTGTAGGTAGTGATACGTGTTGCTAGCTAAGTTACGAATGAATAAAATATTAATGGACAAATGCTAAGTATTTTATTTCATACCCATAACCGTATGAAATTTATAAAAGGAAAATAACGTTATGCTTTGTAATTGAAGTATGTAAATAGAACTATGTGACCTTACTATGAATAAATGGCCAAAACGCCGAACCTCCTCTGGCCAGCTCGTCAGCTATGTTGTTGTCGAACCGATTATACCGATTCTCTTTGGGTAGTTATTGTCACTGGTATGTAAACATAATAATCTACACGCTCTACTTTGGAAAAATCAAGAATGTTCCAGACAAGCTAAGGAAGCCCTGTCCGCATTTAATGGTGTTACATCCAAGGTGTTAATAAAAATAAACCACAGATTGGGATAGCATCAAGTGCTGACCCTGATTCTTATAACAAGCATTTGTTCACCATAGGTTTTACAGACGGTTCCCAGTGCAGGGCATGTATGAGAGAGGAATAAACGGCGGCCTCTGTGCTACTGGTTTATCCGGAGGTCGCCACATACAGGGCTAAACATATTGGCACGTCGAGGTCGCTCCCCGGGGTCGTCGGCAACATCAAGGAACTGCTGAAATTCTTCCTGATTTCACGACTCAAATAATTACAATATTCCTCACGCATCGCTCATACGCAAAATATGTGCTTCAGACGTTGGAGTTACGGAAAGTAGCTCCTTGCAATCTGACTACACTCATTGGAGCTGTTATCCATGATGTCTCAAATTCATATTTGAGAGAGGTCTTTTATAATGCTCTCATCAATCTTTCCTATCCTTCTTACCTCAAAATATCAACATTACAGCCGTTCACAAGTCCATATACATACATAAATACATAAACACTCACGCCTGTCACCCAGAGGGGTAGGCAGAGACTACGGACTTCCATTTGGCGCGATCCTGACACACCTCTCTTGCCTCTTTTACATCCATATATCTACGCATACACGCTCGTCGGTTAAGGGTACTCCTAATCTGGCCCATTTTTAATGTATCGCCGATTTGGTCGATAAACCTTCGTCTAGGGCGTCCCTTCCCGACCCTGCCGTTCACTTCTGCAACATAAATTTGCTTTGTCACTCTTTCCTCGTTCATTCTTTCTACGTGACCAAACCACCGAAGCATTCCTTTCTTAATCCTTGTCACAACGTCATCTTGCAAACCACACTTTTCTCTTATTACACTATTTCTCACCCTGTCATTCAGATTCAGCCCTAGCATACTCCTTAAGGAACGCATTTCTACAGCATTTATTCTACTCTCATGCTTCTTCTGCCAGACTCAACTTTCACTACCATACATTAAAGTGGGTACTAACACAGCATTATGAATTGCCATACGTGCCTTCACAAGTCCACTGCAGAACAAAGCCAAAGAATGCCACAAAGCACGATCCTGAGACACCTCCTTCCATCGACTGCCTACCATTGGAGTAGCTATGTAACAAAGAGCCCTGGGGCAAAAATGAGATTGGGGCCCTGTTTAAACTAAATGGAATACTTTAAAGGTGCAAAACTATTTCATCTTCAGTTCCTTATCGCCCACTGCAAGACAAAGCAAATCTACTTGCTACTGAGTATTATGTGTAACGCGGCAGATAATATTTAATCGTTCTTCTTAGTAGTGTTATAAATGTGAATGTATGTTTGTTTGTTGCGCTTTCACGAAAGCTACTGGATGGAGTTAGATGAAATTTTGCACACGGATAGATTTAAAGCTGGGTAAGACATAGGATACTTTTATCTCGATGAAAGAATCCTGTGGGATAATTTTCAATGTTGATCCATACTAGGCGAATGAAGTTGCGGGCGGAAGCTTGTAAAAAATAAAGGGCCCTTTGAGTTTGGGGCCCCTGGGCACTAGCCCTACGGTAACTACGCCACTGCTGCCTACATTCCTTACCAGTTCGTCATTCCATTAAGTGGGGGGAGCCCTTCACTTCGCTTATTGCTATGAAAATGCCATTCGAGAACCTTTCTTTCCGGAAGTCGGTTCTTTGAGCTATATAGCCGACCCATTGCCACTTCAGGTTACTAATCCATTGGGCTATCATACACACAGTCTCAAATCATTTAATGAATGGGCGACAATAGGAATTTATAAAAGTAGGCAAAGGTTATACGTGCTTTATAATGAATGATCATATAATCATAGCGTTATATTTAGAGATTATGTAAAAACATATTCTAAAATATTTAAAAAGTGTGCTCCACAGCTAAGGCTTTACATTTAAGCAACAAAATCAAAACCGCATCCAACAAAAATAAAATGACCCGGAGAATAATAAATAGTGAAACGGGCAAGGTCAAACCGCACAACTCGGATTTTCAATTGAATATTAACAATAACTTAACTCAATCTGATGAAGAAGTTGCTATGGCTTTTGAGAAACATTTTACTGATGTTCCTTTTTAGACAACAAAATCATTAAATTCTCCTACTGTCGCCGAATCATTGTTTAAAAAAAATGTAAAGGCTTGTTTCTATGGGCTTGTTCAAATACTTTTAAACTCCAT